CAGAAGCTGTGGCCGTAACCTTTGGCAATCGCATTCTGGGCGCCATGGCTTGGCTTATGCCGCTCAGTGTGACAGTAAGCACTTTTGGTAGCGCAAATGGTACACTTTTTGCGGCCGGACGGTGAGTTCACTTTGGATGATGTGGATTATAAGTACAGCTTATTAGTAATATATTAAATTTTTTTAAATTTAGTTTGTGCTTTGCGGCAAGCCGTGAAGGTCATTTGATGGACATACTCTCGTACGTGCATGTACGTCGTCTGACGCCGGCACCTGGATTGATTTTCCATGTGAGTATTGCAAGAATGAGTTAAGAAAATAACTGCAAAAGAAAGTAGGCAATGAGCTCAGCGCTACCTGAAGGCTACTGTAGTTTTATATAAATAGTAGATGTAAAAGAATGGAGTTTTAGACGTCTTACGGATGGGTCTAGGAAAACATATGACAGTTCTTCGATTAAGACAGTTTAGTTTTTGCATATAACATTTAGTTTTAAACTCGATATCGTATAGAAATTTCAACACAAGACTTTCAAGCAGGAAGGAGTGTTAATAATGTTACTACGGTCTTCCTTAGCGATAAAAAGAAAAGGCGTAAAACTTACCTATCAGATCCTCATTTCGTTTACTATCAAAGCGGGGTTTCAAGACCGATATTCGTAGACGCTGTAGTTAAACACGAAGATATCATTCTGCTTTTTGCCGCTTATACGCTGCTACTTAGGGAAATTATTTATATACAAGCCGTTGAAATACCGTACCAAGAATGACTTGTCGAATCTCCAGGAAAAGGGAACAATTGTGAAGCATATCAGTCACACGTTTGCCGGGTCTATGGAGCGGAATAAATCGCACTTTACCCTACCAAGGGTTCTTATTTCGGTGATCTGATCCTGTTTAGGTAGGCGAACCGAATACTTCACAGCAGGGTTGCTCCGCACGAATTTTTATGTCGTCACACCAACTTTCATATTCAAATCAGGGACCGTAACGGTTATGATCTTTTTAATAAAAATCACAATTTAACCGTTACAATTTGATTTCAATTTTGCCGATCAAATTTAACCGTTGTTTTATTATTTTTTCGGTCATATTATCACAAAACAGGGACTAAATTTGATCAAAAAAATAAAAATTAAAATTCAACGATTATACTTCGTCCTTTTAAATAACGGCTATTTTCTGTTCCTGGTTGAAATGCTCTAAAAAGTTTTCCACGCGGAATTTTATATTTTGCTCAGATATGATTTTTTAGCCGTTTTTCAAATTTTTTCGAAACGTAGCCTATGTTTAGCACTTCATTAAGTCATAAATACCCCATTCCAGTTACTTCACGATCTGCAAGATTTACAGGAAAAGCTGTTTTCGCCATTAATAAACCTAATGGAAGGTGGCCACCGGGAACAGCTACCTGTAAAAACCTGCTTATCGTGATACACCTGGAACAGACTTAATTCGACATCAGAATGCAAAAAGATTTTGAGTGGTATACATTGATCTAATACTTTCATTGCCAGTAGGAATCATTCCACCCACAATAATCACCTGGTATAATTCCACCATGGAGTCGACTTTATTTGGACTTTGAATTCTTTAATTTTAATAATAAATATGAACTATGTATGAACATTTTTCTTCCAGTCTCTTATCGCCGCCGCAATGGTTTTGTACGGCACCATTGGCTCACTGATTGACTTCTTCAGCTTTACCGCTTGGATTTTTTATGGAGGCGCAATGTTGGCGCTCATTGTCATGCGATACACCAAACCCAACTATCCAAGGCCATACANCATGCGTGTATGTATGTACATAAGTAACTAAAAAAAAAAAAAATTAAAAAAAAAAATACAAATACAACGGATATTTAAATCATTCAATGAAAAGTAAAGGAGAGACTACCTATTAAGGATCTGAGAGAATAATGGATGTTTTGTCTGATGATGTAGGATAACTGTTTAAGATAAACTAGCAGTAAATAAGACACAAATAGTCATGCAAAGCAAAGTAAAATTAAGAAAAAAAACATTTGCATTGCATTAAAATTCTGCTTAAGACCTGCATATAACTAGTTTTTAGTTTTAGGTTTATTAGAATTATCAAATTGTTGCCGCATCTTAGTAAAACGTTGACAAGATCAAAACATAGAATGTTATTGTTTCAAAAATATTGCATTAAATGTGTAGAAATTAGCGTGAAAGCAGCTATAAAAGCGTTTTAAACTACATACATGTGTATGTACATACGATAATATGGTTATTGTTAGGATTTATATATATATATAGTTGATTTATATATATATAGTTGATTTACTATATATAGTTTATATGTACATGTGTATGTGTAAGTACATACTTTTAAGTGTGTGCTTACGAGTTTTTGTCTCATTTTATGATATACATATTCGGCCCTATCGCGGATTTCACGTGAACAAAATATTACCAAAAATTATAAAGCAAAACAAAAACAATTCGCACTTTGTTTTTGTTTTGCAAGTTAAATTATGGGAACAGTTTATTTACACGGAATTAGCGATAGGGCTGATTTATATTTGATATACACTTATTTGTATCGCAAGTTCACAGAGGGAAATTGGAGAAGAAGCTGTTGGAGCGAGTGTTAGTTGCTGATTGTCACATATTGAGATTTAATTCTTTCGAAACGGAAGCAACTTTTGAATACACGCCGATTTGTTTTTAAAACATTTTTTTTAGAAAAATAAATAAATTTCAACACTAATGGCAAAAAACTCTTACTTCATTTTTCATGACTTCCGCATATTATTATTATTTTTCTTTTTCAAATTGGCAGTTGTGCAGCCGCTCCATACGCTTCCCTTCAGTGAAGAATGCTGATAACTGACAAATAGCAATATTTTAATTGAGAAGAAGCAACAAAAAAGGAAACGAACACAAAAAATTATTTAAAAAATTGAAAAAAACCTACATATTTTGTATATCTTGGTCTAAACATTCTATGTATGTATACATACTTTAGAATCGTTTCAAAATCCTAACTGGAATAAATTGTGAAAATCATGGGACTGCTTTAGGCATTAAATTAATTAAATATTTATAATTTTTAATGAAGAAATGCAAAGTAGAATTATACTAAAATTGTTATTTAAAATACTTTAATATATCTCTAAGTTTTAAACTAAAATTCAAAAAGTTATATTCCCATCTACTCTTTAGGCTATAAATTTATTGGTTGTAAGGCTAAATCAGATTTTATTTATTAAATTAAGTAACAGATAAATAAAACTTGCTTGCAGCTAAAAGATTTTGAGTTCATCGAGCGCAATGTGGATATTACACAAGAAAACTTAGAAAAAAATTCGAAAATTATGATATCACAAAAACAAGCATAAAAAAAGTTTTAATAATTAAAAATATTTTGCAACTACTTCACTGTGAGAAGCGCAAAAATCAAATAAAAATAGCAAAACAATCCCAGAAAATTTTACAAAAATTTGTTACAAGCCACTTACTAGTACTTATGTACACACATAAATAGTAGTTTGTGTCGCGAAACAAATAAAAATATTATTATCATTCTCATTTTCGTATATGTAATTATTTTAATTTTAAGTTAAAAAAGACAAAAAATAACAATACAATAGTAAGTACATACATATATGCTAATATGTATGCATGTATGTATTTAAATATATTTTGCCATCGCCATTAAGCACATTATCCACATTTTAAGCCGAGTAAAAATTAATACAAAGCCTTGATACCAAGTACGTAATACATATGTATGTATGTACATACATACATACATACATAATATTAATGTTTGTATATATTTATGTATGTACATAAATATTAATGTTTGTACATATTTATGTATGTATATATGTATGTATGTACTTATGTACGTTTTCTGCGGTTAGCTTACTTGAATGCAAATTTGCGCCAATAAATACATACATACACAGTGCATATTACAACGTCAAAGGCATCAATATATACATACATATACAGATTTTTAATAAAATTAAATTCTAAATACAAACTTACACGCATGCATATACATATATGCACATAAATACATACATAGGTATTTGGGAACTGTTTTACTACACTTTTGGTCTTATAATTAATTGTACATTTTTTATATAGTATTTTGTTATACGAGTATATAATTAATTCTTTCGAGACATTTATTTTTATTTTAATATTATATATAAGAAAATGCAAAAAAAAATGAAAAAATTCATTGTGCACTTATGTATGTATATTGAGAATTTATCAATAAAGCATTGAAATGCACCAAAAACAAAAATGTGTAATTTTCTATCATAATACAATTATTACAGGTATTGTCTTCCCACAGAGCGCATATTGCGATTTGAAAAACATCATTACTTCCCACACTAAAAAGTTTAATGTAAGGGAAAAGGCATCTTTCCATACACCATACCACGTGACCATACGTAGCGATTTTGGCGGGACAGTAGATTTAAGGAAATTGTCCCGCTGAATATTTTTTAAAATGCTTATTCATTTAATAAAAGTATGCCTGTACTCTGGGTCACCAATCATTTTTCGTACAAACGTGGAAGCACTTTCGTTATCACAAAGGACAATGAATATAAGGGAGCCATAAACATAGCCAGCACCCTTATTTTCAATGATCTTTGGCTATGTTTTATTCTACCAAGGCAATACTCTCGCTATCAGAGCTGGGTCGTAATGATTCCTTTAGGAATCAAATTACTCCCAATTACAGATTACAAGGAATTGTAATTAGGAATCAATTCCTTCAGTCCACAGCAAAGGAATCGATTACTTTTTCAATTCCTTGAAGTAATTTCAAATGTAATTGGTTTTTTCTTTAATTCCATTACAAGGAATTTCATATTGTAATTGAAATAAATTACGTGCTAGTAATGTAATTTTTTTTCTCCAATTCCTTTGAAAGGAATTGAAAATGTAATTGATTTTTTTTCAATTCCATTACCTGGAATTGCAAAAGTACTTTAGTTTTTTCAATTACTCAAAGGAATTGTAAAAGTAATCGAGAAACTGAAAGTTCATTCACGAATGTACAATGTGGAATTTTCGTTGTGGTCAAAGATTAAAATCGAAAGCACACATTGGACATCTTCTATGTATATCTATATATATAAAAATGTTGTGTTCGTATGTCACGGTCATCAAAACCCGAGAACGGCTGAACCGATTTGAATAATAATGATATCACAAAAATTTGGAGGGTTGCCACCTATTTTAAAATTTTTAAACCCAATTATATTTATAAAATTAATGAATTATTACAATATGGGTATCAAGTTAAAAAGGTTTAAGAAAGATAACCGCCGGAAGCCACCTATTTGAAAATTTAAACTAAGTCAAATTGTTAAAAAAAAATGAAATATTGCCATGTGGGTGTCAAACTAAAGAGTTTTAAGAAGGCTTACTGCCAAAAATATGTTTGAGGAGGGTTGCCATCTGTTTGAAAATTTAACTAAATTACATTGATAAAATAAATAAAATATTACAATATGGGTATCAAATTAAAGAGGTTTAAGAAAGATAACTGTTGGAAATATTTTTGAGGGGGGCTGCCACCTATTTGGAAATTGTAACTCAGTTAAATTGATAAAGTAAATGAAATGTTGGCATGTGGGTGTCAAACTAAAGAGTTTTGAAAAGGCTTACAGTCTACCATGAACACTTCCAGAAATATGCAATATGAAAAGATCGGTTTATATGGGAGGTGCCACGCCCCATTCTTCAACCATGCAAATTTTTCTCCATGAGTATGGAATTGGTCTTATATATGTATATATCACCATACCCAGTTCTAGCCCTCTACCACAAATATATGCAGTTTGAAAAATTCGGTTTGTATGGGAGGTGCCACGCCCCCTTTCAATATCGAAACTTTTTTTAGCCTATAACCATCCGTGGAAAGTCTGCAGTATATTCCGAAATTTCAAAAAAATCGGTACGGCCTTTCTCGAGCTTTGCGAACAGAAAAAAATGCTTTTCAAAATATATATTAGTATAGACTAGCCAATATCTGCTTGTTTTGCGGCTTAAAACACTACTACCGATGAAAATCGATGGATAAATAAGCAAGTTTGCAAGGGTTAGGTTGAAGTGGCTGCTAGGCCCGGAGGGCGCCAGCACACTTAGGCCCGATCATAGCCCATTGTGATTTGCAAGGGTTAAGTGAAAGTGTAATAATTTTTTGTATAAAATACTAGCAGGAAATAATGTTACCCATACGCCATATCGTACATGACCGTATGACCATGTTTAAGTTTGATTTTTTTCATTCGCAATGAAAACTTAAAATGAAAATAACTTGACTAAATGACATGAAATGAAAAAAACGGTATACAGTTCCGTAACATACTACTTAAAATTAATTTTACGTCTCGGCGTTTTTTGTGTAATTTTAGCGTCGTTACAGTGTTATCATCAAAATTTAGCCATAGCAATGAAATTTGTTTACAAAACTCTTAGGAGGTAGGATCTCCAGTCCCACAGGGCTCGTAATTCAAGCGCCCCAAAGGCACGCCATTTTGAGTAGAATTAAGGGTACCATAATATACGCAATTAACTCGGTGCATTTTTATAAATACGCAGGGATTAGTCCAACAGAACAGCAGTGCCCAAGGCAGCAACATTTATGGGTCTCATCTGCCGCGAAGCGCATTCGCGGTAGGATCTGGAAAATTTAACCGTTACCCTATAAACTGAACAGCTACAGTCTAAGCTATTCAGTTTTCTTAAAGTCCAATTAGTAATACTACTTAGGTATAAGTTGTTTATTCAAGGCAGTTAGCAACCAAGAAATTTAACAAAGCTATTGCAATTCAACAGTAAACAATTTTTTTTTATAAATTTTTCGATTACTTTTTAAATTACTTTGAGGAATGGAATTGGAAAAAAAATCAATTACATTTTCAATTCCTTTGAAAAATTACATTTTCAATTCCTTTCAAAGGAATTGAAATAAAAGAAATTACATTACTAGCACGTAATTTATTCCAATTACAATATGAAATTCCTTGTAATGGAATTAAAGAAAAAACAATTCCATTTGAAATTACTTCAAGGAATTGAAAAAGTAATCGATTCCTTTGCTGTGAGCTAAAGGAATTGAATCCTAATTACAATTACTGAGGAATGTAATTGTAATTGTAATGTAATTGCATTTACCCAGCTCTGCTCGCTATATTACAGTCTATCATTCTTGTCTAATATTTTTTTAAAGATTCCTTATAATTATTAAAGTTTTTTTAATGGAACGATTCTAACTTGAATTTAATGAAATTATAAAAAGAATAATTCTCTCGAAAAAAATCATGGATAATCTGTATATACAGTGGCGAAAATATAAACAGGGAAGCGATATTTTAACATTCTTTGGCTATTCCGCTTTCGATTATTTAATGTTTATTATTTTTTATGAAAGTGTAGCTCTTTATCTAACACACACCATGTAAGTCAAAACTTCAAACTTTGTACAAAAATTAGCGAATTTCGACAAAGTTTCATCAACATCTTGAGCCTTTTAATTAGACTAGTATCGCCCAGTTGTCCTAATTCGACCACTTCATTTTCTTACACACTTTTTCATTTTGCTTGTCATCAATATAGTGGCAATAATGCTTCATGTTGATGATGATTTTGAAGTGTATTAGCATTCCAAAATATACGTAATAATCTTCCTCACTAACGTTGTTAGATTCATATACATATGTACATCCTGTTACATAATGTAATAATTCAAAATTTTCTTTTGGATGCAGAAATATTCCTAGAGCATTTAGGTGCATTTCTGCATCAAAAGGAAAATTTTGAAAAAAATGTCGCTTACGTTATTTACGTTACGTTAGGGCTCGATATGTATGTATGAGAATTCGTTTAAAAATAAAATCATTTTCAGAAAGGTCCGGTTGAATTAAAAAAGAAAGCATCAGATATAAAAGCATATTGCATGGACGTGAACTTGAAATAACTCGAATATGTTGTCCATTTTGGCAGGTTTATTTTTCCTTATGTTTATTCTCCTTATATATTCCGAGTTTGAAGCAATCAGACGGGATCGATTTTTAGCGTACCGGAAAAATTAAATATTTGTGTACTCCTACTAAACACCTTTACAACAAAGCAACAACCATTCGAATTGGTTAAGAAACATAGGAGAAAATTGTTCCCTCTATTTTTTAATTTAATTTAAAGTGCAAATTTTAAGTGCCTTAGACATTGATTTTTGGTAAAAAATTTTTGTGGAAGGTGTTGCTCACTCCACACAAAAAAAAATTGTTGAACATANCATTCAATTTAAAGTGCAAATTTTAAGTGCCTTAGACATTGATTTTTGGTAAAAAATTTTTGTGGAAGGTGTTGCTCACTCCACACAAAAAAAATTGTTGAACATACTTTGTAGGGAAGAAAATGCTCGAACAAAAAATTGCAAAAAAGCAACGGTAAGCTGCTTCAAACTTGCACTTTTTTATACTAATATTTAATGGNAATTTAAAGTGCAAATTTTAAGTGCCTTAGACATTGATTTTTGGTAAAAAATTTTTGTGGAAGGTGTTGCTCACTCCACACAAAAAAAAATTGTTGAACATACTTTGTAGGGAAGAAAATGCTCGAACAAAAAATTGCAAAAAATCAACGGTAAGCTGCTTCAAACTTGCACTTTTTTATACTAATATTTAATGGACTACAAAACTGCATTTTGATCAACATTTGCTAAAATTCGTCGAATTTTCAAAAACGTTCTTCAAAGTTTGAAATTTTGGTTTAAATGTTTTTTAGATAGTAAGCTATATTTTCATAAAAAAATAATATAAATTTTTTAAACAAAGTAGCCAGATCTTGCAAAAGCGCCTTTTCCATATTTACATTCTCGCCACAATATATATCTATATGTACTACATATTAGGTGCGTTCGCGTAGCTGTTAATTGTTCATGTTTAACCAAAACTTACAAGTTCGCGTACGCAAAAAACTTGCAAAGTAGGGGAAATTGAGAGAGCAAAGTGACATTTCATTTTGAGGGGAAGCTGCTGGTTTCTGCTGGAAAAATTTTTGCCAACAGGAAAACAGCTGGTTGGCATTTACGCAAATCACAAAATTGAACTGGATGGTTTGGAAGTTAAAAATTACAAAGTGCGACTAATTAAACTTGTAAGAAATAAGTAGTTATTTGTTTAATTAATAAACTGTGTCAGTATAACACTTTGTGATGACTTTTCGAACGTTTTAAATTTTACACTTTTGAATTTTCTGTTCGCGTACTATTTTGGATATTTCTCTCTTGTGAGAGAACAGATGACATTTCGCCGGAATTTGGCAGTTGGTTGGTTTCTGCTGGAGATTTTAAACGAACACACCTATTGGCTGAATTTCTTTATTCATTCTGAACGTTTGGAATAAACTTTTTTGTTTACTTATTCTTTAGAACGTTCCTGATGATATGTTAACGTTTATNGTTTCTACTGGAGATTTTAAACGAACACACCTATTGTGTGTTTGCGATCATTTTTTCAAGCTCTTTTCTCTTTGTTTTGTTTTAAATAAAACTGTTTGGAAAGATGTTAGTCTTTTTATTGTAAAAACAAAATTGTATGTTCGGATTCGATGCCTTAAAAATCTGAAATGTGGCCACGGAAATATGGTCACCGCACATATACCATATATCGATACCTGAGTGGAAGATCGACCTATCTTGGCAGCCAGTTCGAAAACGCCGTATCTCAGAAAACTTTTGAAGAACGCCCTACTTCAGAATTTGAATGAAGAACGCCCTATTTAATAATTTTATTGAGAAACATCCGATCTCAGAATTTGGTTGAAGAAACTTTTTTTTATGTATATACATATCGTCGTTTAAAGCATAAAACCGCGTAACTGACATTTGGTGCCAAAAATTGGACTTGCTCACACAAGCTTTCGCCTAAATCCTTATCCATTCGTCTTGAAATATACTAGCCAGAATTGCGATTGCTTTATAAAAAAGAGAACCATTTTGAAATATGAGTGTTTTTACTCTCTAGAAAATAATTTATGAACCCTCCCATGCGCGGTTTTGCATTATCTTGATACGCGGTTTTTCATTTTGTTGATACGCGGTTTTGTACTTTAAATGACGATATGTATGTTATCGCATAACTTTGGACCACGTTAACCGATTTCTTTAATTATTTTTTTAAATGAAAGGTGGTTCCATACTTATTTGGTTTAGATCTGATCATTGCATCACGAATAAATTAGCAGCACTCTTATATTTTTATGAGATTGTAGTTTGTTTTTTGTTTAAAAATTCCTTCTTATCGTTCACTTTATTTCAAACGTTTTTATATGTACTAAACTCAGATAACCTCCTCGCCCCCAAAGTTTTCATTAAGTACCTTACCTTTATACTAATACATCTATTGACAAGTCTTTGAAATGAAACAGATTTACAACCGACCAAGGACTGATACTCCAACAACATTCCCCAAGACTCTAGATATGCAGGGCTATCACTGAATCCATCGTAGTTCGACTTTTAATGCCGCTGCAACAACAAGGTTGTAACAAATTGGATTTTAGAATATGATTTTATACTTTCATCTAGCATTACTTTAGAATTATTGACCTCATGACATAATTTCGATCAGTAGTTTAAAGTTTAAAGTACTGCATTGCTTTGTGAAGTGTACAATTTGTTTTTGGCGATTGGAAGAGATACAATTTTTCCGATTTCTTGGAGAATACTTATAAAAATATGTACTATCTTTGGCGTGTCATTGCTTATAAAACTAACAAAAATAGCAACTACCTAAATTANCGTTCACTTTATTTCAAACGTTTTTATATGTACTAAACTCAGATAACCTCCTCGCCCCCAAAGTTTTCATTAAGTACCTTACCTTTATACTAATACATCTATTGACAAGTCTTTGAAATGAAACAGATTTACAACCGACCACGGACTGATACTCCAACAACATTCCCCAAGACTCTAGATATGCAGGGCTATCACTGAATCCATCGTGGTTCGATTTTTAATGCCGCTGCAACAACAACAAGGTTGTAACAAATTGGATTTTAGAATATGATTTTCTACTTTCATCTAGCATTACTTTAGAATTATTGACCTCATGACATAATTTCGATCAGTAGTTTAAAGTTTAAAGTACTGCATTGCTTTGTGAAGTGTACAATTTGTTTTTGGCGATTGGAAGAGATACAATTTTTCCGATTTCTTGGAGAATACTTATAAAAATATGTACTATCTTTGGCGTGTCATNCGATCAGTAGTTTAAAGTTTAAAGTACTGCATTGCTTTGTGAAGTGTACAATTTGTTTTTGGCGATTGGAAGAGATACAATTTTTCCGATTTCTTGGAGAATACTTATAAAAATATGTACTATCTTTGGCGTGTCATTGCTTATAAAACTAACAAAAATAGCAACTACCTAAATTAATTAAATGCTTTTCAACATAGTAGCTCAAAGGAAACGAATTTTAAAAATATTGGTTACACATATTAACTTAATAATTAAATTCAAACACATCACGGAAGCATTTTTTTGGGGGGATTTGGGTAGATTGACCGGTTTAGAGTGTAAACCACCGCCAGGCTATTCCTCTGCTTTCAAATATGTCTCTTAGTATGTAATCATCCGACTGCAATGTTCAAAGTTGCTCTGCAGATGCACGTATGATACTACCACGGGGGGCCAGAACCACATGCAACAGTTTCTGCTTTGCCTAAGTTTAGTGTTGAAGCGATGTTGTGCTTGGACAATTTGTTCATCAGAAGCGAAAGATTTAATGTGTTGTGTTAAATCCAAATTTAGCGCCTGTGTTACGGGCAATCCCAGTTTGAAACGAAGGGAATCAAGGAAGCATAGTATTTTCAGTTCCGAATCTAACAAAGTGTGCCTTTCAGCTATTTCTTCTTCTGTTAGCTATCAGCCGTTGTAAATTGATTTTCATCTAATTCTGGAAATATTATAGAAATCTCACGTGTCGCCGATTCTTTGCTATCTGAACCATGACATGCATTACGCGTATCAGACAAGCCATACAGTGCGCGTATACAATCTGGGTGGGAATATACAGCCCTGTAAACTTTCGTGGGTCCCATTAGACCGCGCCACTTAGCTATGCTGTCTTTCGATTGTAGGATGAACGCGTGGCAGGGACCGCTAAATGAGAATGCATTTTATGAGTCTATGTTATTTGGATCAAAGTCAACGAGAAGAACGGCACCTGCCCATGAATGTAACCAATCTATTGTAGAAGAATTTGCCTTTGTGTTCTGCATAGAAATGTTCCGACAACTGTTTCGTAATATGAACCTCCTTCGAGTGCAGCACGGTGAAGTTTTCCTGAATTATTTGCTTGATCTGCTGGAATGCGTAGACATTGCGAACCACGTGAGGTTTGAGCAACGCCAAAGTGATTTCCATTTACGAAAATGCAATTTTTGTTTTAAATTTTACCGCAAACAAAATACAATCCAAGGTGTATTAAACAGGTGTGTTAAATACGCCTTGATACAATCTTTTCTACAGCTGATTAGAGATGCAAAAAAAATGATCGTGACATCGATACATCGATTTTTATTTTAATTTTTGGCCCAACATCCTTTGCTACTTGTAAAAGTGAGGTGAGTAGATCGTGCCCTCAAGGAAGGTAAATTTATAAGAAGGGACAACTCGTTCAGCTTGCATTACAGTTCAATGCGATCGTGAGCGTGAGCTTTTTGTTTTGACCAATATCATCGTTACTACTTAACTTCTTGCTTTAGGTGATACATCAAAAGAATAAAAACTAATTCAAAATGCATAAAGCGAAGCGCACATTGGCGCGATTCTGTCGTTGCGAATCCGCAAGCCCAAAAATTACAACAATGCTACCCATACATTTTAATGCGCTAGCGCACACTTGCACGATTCCGTCGCTGCGAATTCGACATTCAATGTTCTCTATTGACGCGTTCGAAACGCGGCTTGCAGCGTTTTGAAGGCGTCAAAGAAGAAGAAGAAAGGCAAGCATAAAGGCAAAGAAAAAAAAAACGTGTAATGTACAAAACTAATAAAAACGTTCGTAATAATAGTATTTTGTACGATTTGGGCACGCCGAGTGCGAAAATACACGAAATAACGGGAAAATTTAGTGAATTGTACATCGGAAATCGACGCGAAAAAATCGCTCAAGTGTGCGCACGTTTGCTGGATTCGAAGTTAACAAGCCGAATTCGACAACGTATTCGCAACGACAGAATCGCGCCAATGTGCGCTTCGCTTAATGCGCCTTTTTGTCAAGCTCACACTCAACTGTGTGCGTACGCAAAGCATTCGCATGCGATCGCAAGTTTTGACAGTTAATGCAACCCTGCTCCACTTCAGCTTTCCGAACAAGTCCGAAAAATATTCGGTAGAAAAGCGTTTGACATTTGTTATTGATTGATTTTCTCACGTCTTCTTTTCGTAATCTGCTGGAAAATAATTTTTGTTTACAAAATATCAAAAAAATACACAAGAAATGGTAACTTTAACAAAATACATTTGACTGCAAATGATTCATTGACAAATCTTTTCAGGCAACGACGGGTAGTGGAAAAAGTTGCTGCAGTGGTAGCGGTGGTGTGCTGGAAGAGCGTCGCATATGGGTTGGCAATTTAGATCCACGACTCACCGAGTAAGTTAATAAAGCATAAATATCTTTTAGTTTTTATATAATATGTGTAGCTAAACTAATCTGTCAATTTTCTTTTCTTGTGTTGCTATTATTGGTATCAACTCTTGAAAATTTTGCAAAAATGCGGTCCTGTCGAAAAGTTTGATATGCTCTTCCACAAGAGCGGCCCAATGGTTGGGCAATCGCGCGGCTATGCGTTTGTTACTTTCGGAACGGTGAGTATATTCTCATCCTTCTTAGTATGCGCGTTTAATGAATATGTATTATGCACAGGCTGACGCGGCGTTAATAGCTTTGGAGAAATTAAATGGCACACCTGTAGCGAATCGACCAATTGTGATACGACTGGCGAAAAATGTTAATTACGTAAGTGTGTAGACGTTATAATATATAGAATGACACGCACATCACTTCTATTTTTTTATTAACATGTCCACGCCATTGCGTGCCTTTTCCCTCTTAGGATGAACTCAACAAACAAAAACCTCGCCTTGAAATACCAGCATTGGGCGCTAGTTCCCGCGATGATAAAATGAGCAAAGAGGAAGCGATACGCGTAATAGAAGCCAAATTGCGGTCACTTGAACGTAATGGTGAGGAAGAGTTAGAGTTGAATATTTTGAACTCAGCTAGCTCACAAGTGCCATTCATACAACGTTATCAATTCAACAAAGACCGCGATGCAAGCAGCAGTACCTCAAGTGGGCGCACGTACACCAAGTCATATAATTCTACGCCCTATAATCGGCACCAGCGACCAAAACGAAGATAGAAAATTTATTAACTTTAAGTTGTATTAAGTGTTTTATATGTATTTATTAATGAATCTGGACTACCATCAACTTCATCAAATATTTATAATTATACTCATATGCGCGCTATGTGCACGTATACTTATCAAATGTTGTGTTCAGAGATTTAAGCCAAATAAAGTGATTTATGCGTAAACAACAATGTATTTTTTTCTATTGAATTAAGAACTAGAAACGGCTAGGCGTATAAAATTACTTTTTTTGTTTCACTTTGGTGCAAAGATATGTTTTCCGCGCAGATGATCCGGAAGTTTGACAGTGCCAGGGCAAGGAACTTGTCCCATTATTTCGCAGATGCAGTGTCGGTCACAGCCATAACCAAAGTTGGCGGGATTGTCTTTACTCTCCGCTAAATGTGCCTCGGCATCCAACTGAGCTCTGGAATGTTAAAAGAATGCGGTTAGATGATTTGTTTCTGCAATGTGTGATATTGTTAGAATCCAAAAACCTTAACACTCACTTTGATTTGCCGACAACTTTACAAAGATGATCAATAATTTCGTCGCGATTCCGGCTATCAATATCGACCAGCATATCACGGCCATCCTCAAAGTAGCAACGCACGAACGGCGATGGTGTCATGTTCTTAAAGGTTACAACTTGCACATTCGGATTTTTATATTGAATCTGACACAAATTCCAAAACACGAAATCTCTGTAAGCATATACACAGGATTAGTTACATACTTTTAATCCCACTTTATTGGGTCTCACCTGGCTCCACTGTGGTGGTCACCGTATACATTGTAGTTCACGCTAAAAATTTTCACTTTATCTTTCAGTACAAGGCGGCCTGCATTCAAATAATCAATTGTACGCCTAATAGGCGCGCGTCCTTTCATGAAAGGCATATTGGCTAAATTTTTATAAAAAGTTTAATTAAGAAAATTGAGAATTACAAAATCATAAGCAACCGATTGAGAATGCGGCTGCAGGCGGTTGGCCAACTGTCAAGAGATACTCCGAACAGCTGTTTCCGAATTCGAAGTTAGAGCAGTAGCGCCAAGAAAATCAAAGGAACTGCA